GTAAAATTAATCTATTGGAAAAAGTTGTTTTAATGTTGAAAAACCCTGTAATTGATTAACAATGAGATGTATGAATAGGAAAAAAAACAAGGTTTTGAATCTAAAAAATAGTGCAAGCATCTTGCAATACATTATCTAGACCGTCCAATTTCAAAATTTTAATATGTTTATAGATCTACTTTTTAATTATTTTTGGAGTTTAAAATTTTATAATTAGATGCGAAAATAGATTTTGAGATAATCCAATAAAAATTTACACCAAAATTACATGTTATGACAAAATTTGGATGTGCACTTTAGTTCGATTGTTTAAGGTTGCAACCTTATTTATCGAAACCACACCTTTTATATATAGGGCAAGCTTTTTATGCTTCTCCCTACAACATAAACCTTATATACTTTCCCTCATCCTACCGTCCATTCTGAATGAAGGGCTAAGATTGCCCCAATCACAATATCACATCTTTACACTATTTTATTTCTAATGTTTTTTCTACAAACTATTTTAATACCAAATTTTGTAAATAAAATCTTCTTTTAAACTCGCACTACCGAAAAAATATAAAAAAAATATTTCCAATAACATAAAATGACTAAAATACCCTTGAAAGCTTCAAGGGGAATTTTGATCATTATATTTTATCGAAAAAATATTTTTGATGCTTTTTATAGGTGTGCCCCAATGAGAAGATGGCACGTACCAAATTTCATATTCATACAATTGGTATAAAAACTAAAAATAACATACTTTGAAACATTTTTAGTTTCAAATTTTATTGTGGGTATTGAAAATTGATTTTAGAGCCATTATGGAGATTTTTGTTGCCGACCTGACGAGGATTTGAGGTGAGGCTTTATTTTGTTTTCATAAGGGATTTGAGGTGAGGCTTTATTTTGTTTTCATAAAGCCTAGGCCTTATAGAAACCTCATCCTTATATAACTAAAATATATAGTGATATTTCTTTAAATATTAATTAAATATTTTTAGATATTATATATTAAATATTAAATATTATTTAAATAATACCGGGGTTGGGTCCACATGGACATGAACCCTGATCCGGATAGTGTTCGGGTCCAATATTTGCGCCCATACCCGTACCTGGATCAGGTCCAGTCGTCGAGCCTCGGGTCTAGTTAATTTATTGTAATGGACTATTTGTAAGTGATCTAGCCAAAAAGAAAGAGTATAAGAGAATAAAAGAATTATATATATATATATATATATATATATACAAAGTGGTCACAATTAATCTTAAGCATTAAATGTGAAAGGTTCAAACTTCAAAAGAAATTTGAGAAAACAAGTGTTTTTCGACTCGACCAATTCTACTCGGAGTCGGCCGAGAAACTCAGAATTGGCGAATGGGCGAGGCAAGTTTTCCCTCAATATCATGTACAACAAGTTTTATTTTTTATATATTAATAAAGTGTGAATATTAAAAACTGGGCCTGCCCGGTTAGATCAGAACCGGCCATTGGTTTCGCGGCAGTTTTGATGATCGACCAGTATTTAAATAAAAAAATTCAAAAATATATACATAAAATCCCAAAAATAAAGAATTTGATTTATAATACATTTTTTAATATTTTTAAATTATGGCAACGATTAGAAATTATTTTGGTCATCAATACTCATTTTTATATTTTCTTATCTTTTCGAAAAAAATTAAAAATACTCCTAGGTACCTTTAAAATCCATTTTTCATTAATTTTCAACTTTGTGTTTTGTTTTATTAATACTTTATATGCTTTTCAATTATTATTTTTTTATTTTATTATTATTATTATTATTATTTAACAATTTTTTGACCACCCGGGACTTGCTCGATTAGAACAATTGAATCGGCCAATTTACGGATTAGGCTAATTGGCCCATGTCCGGTTAACCGTTCCGGTTCGATTTTGTAAACACTAGAGGGGACCATGCTAGTATTTTTCCATAATGGCAAGGGCCGGATTTCCCTCTACTATTATGGGTTTCTTTTTAAGTGTTTTTTTTTCAATCAAACAGGAGTAAAAACAAAAAAAAAATTTAGTTCTAAGAAGAGGACTTGAACCCCGAGTCCTCAGCAAAAGTATTCTAAAACCCGGCACTCTACAAGACACACTACCATAAATTGTGCAAAGAAAAGTGAAAAAGCTAATAATATAAACATATAATTGTAGTTTTCTTTCAACAAAACATGAGATGAAAAACCGAGGTTTTGAACCAGTAGGCCATTTGACGAATAGTATAAAAATAGCGGACAACATAAATTATATATTATAACTCATTTTTTATTTTTTTAAGCTCCAACTTTACTCGGGCGAGTAACTCAGACTCAACTCGATTTTTTGAACTCTGGATAAAACTTTATGATACACCCAAACTGTCAAATTTTGAGGGAGAAAATCATATACCAGATCTTGGGCCTAGGCTAGAAGCAGAAACTGTGACCCACTTGGGTAAGAAGTAAAAACTAATAACAGCACAGTTTGGCAAACACAAACACTTACTAGCTAATTGGATGACATCAAAGCAATCAGCAGCTCTTGGGCTACCCATGGAAGGTGCTTCAGCCCCAACCTCATTGCACTGATTCCATCCCTCAAATGCTACTCTCAAACCATCTCTCCTCATTCCCGGATCTCCAACGTCAGATTTAGTCCCACTCTCTGCACTACAAATGACCATCATCGCCGCCGCTAAAATGATCGAACGAAACCACCGCCATCTCATCTCCTTCGTCATTATCTCTGCCTTCTGCTAACTATATACCTGCAAACCACCTCAAAGAGAGATACCCAAGAGTGAGGAAATCAGTTAGCTTCTTTTTTAGATGAAGAGAACTAAGATAGACAAGAGTAGGATATATACTTCAAAATAGTGGAGAAGAGAGAAAGAGAAATGGAAATGGGAGCTTGGGCTGTGCAGGGAAAAGAGATAAATTGGTGGCCACTCTTTCGTCCATGTCTATCGAAAGGCAAATTGTATGGCTGATTCTTTGGCTAAATATGGGGTGACTTATTCGGCCATTGTGGTTGTTGATGAGGTAATGTTACCGTTGCAAATTTCTTATTTGTGGTCTGACATCCCCAAAAAAAAATTTTATTTTTCTTACTCAAAAAATAAATTTGATAACATTCGCCCAAAAAAAAAGGAAAAAAAATGGAAACGGTAGCGTGGGGTATGTGAGGGAGATACTGGGGTCCTTTATTGGTGCTCTCTTTAAAGATAGAGATGAAGCTTATGTTCCACTATCGTGTTGTTTATCTTTTGAGAATTGGGATTAGGCTTTAGGATCTCTTTAAAATTTTGAATTAGCGGTGTAGTTTATCATCCTTAAATATACTCCTTGTGTTGATCTGATTTTGAATGAATGATTACATTGGTCCCTTATCTATATATATATATGGGAAAAGTTGATATAGAGCCAAGGCTCTAAACAATCAAATTCGAGCCTAAATAAAAAATTTCACTAGATGAGATTGTTTTGATGACCAAATATCCTCGAATTGATCATCTTGTGATCACGTGGCATGGACATGATAAAAAAATAGATTTCAAATTTTGAAAATAGTGTATTTTGTAACACATTTTTTTATGGTCAATTTTCAAGTTTTCATAGATCTATTGATCTACACTATTTTTTAAGCTATAAACTTTATAAATGATGGTGAAAATATATTCTAAGACTATCACAAAGATTTCCATAATTGAAACTATTTGAAGGTAGGCTCTAAGTTGATTGTTTAGAGCCTAGGCTCTATACAAACCGCACCCTATATATATATATATATATATGAAAACGTTTATAGAAGGATGCTACCTTATAATGTAGAACTACGGATGCCCCTAAAAAATCCATTGGAAAAGGTATTTTTAATGTTGAAAAACCCTTTGATTGATCATCTCGACATCGAGATGTATGAGTATGAAAAATAAAAAGATTTTAAGTATTAGAAATAGTGTATTTTACAACATATTATCTACATCGTCCATTTTCAAGATATTAATATGTTTAGAGATCTACTTGATTTTAACCATTTTTTAAATTTAAAATTTATAATTAGATATAAATATAGATTTTGAAAAAAATCCTAAGAACATTTTACATCAAAATTAAATACCATGATAAAATTTGAAGGTGCACCTTACCTCTACTCCTACGGATGCATCCGTATGAAAACTACACCCATATATATATATAGCTACTTGCACTGATAATACATTCTGATAATACATGGAATTTATAGTAATAAAGAATCCAAGAATGATAGAATTTGATTATTAAATTCAACAATCCCCCTTGTAGTCCCCCCCCCCTTTGTACAATCCCCCTTTAGATACAACTATTGTATACCCCTTTTAACTAAAGTGCCTTCTTTAGATACAAGGTTAGACAAGTTGAAAGGGGATTATTATAAAATAGTGTATAGACAAGTTAATTACCCCTTAATTGTCTTGCCCCTTAAAAGTATAGGGGTAAAGAATAAATTACACTTTTAGAGAATTTAATGCCTATTAAAAAGGCACTTTTAGTTACACTTATCAATTTACTATCTATTAAAAGTACACTATTATAGATAGTCTATAAAAAATGCCTTTTAAAGTACACTTATTTATAGTAAATTTAAATTGGTAGAAAAGTGTACTATATAGTAAATTTAAATTGATATATATATAAATAGTACTATCTATTAAATAGAAACTATTTACATAGTTTCTAGAAATACTATAGTTTACTTTAGAAATAGTAAACTATAGTACTATTTCTAAATGGTATATATTACTATTTGCATAGATAGGCGACTTATAGATAGGAGACTTAATATTAAATAGTACTATTTATATTTAGAAAAAGTAGTACTATCTATTAAATAGACAATTTATTCTATTGTAAGGCAATAGTAATTCTATTGTAAGGCAATAATAGACGATAGTAATAGACAAGAAACATATAATTCATAAATCCTGTTCTACATAAATAGGTCTACATTTAATTTCCAGACTACAAGGATTTACAATATGAGAGAGTGTTTTCCACTGTAGCAATAATTGGTACAATAATTTATTGAGAACTATACAGTGGTAATAATTCAAGAATACAATAACAGGCTAATTACTTTTGTTTAATATTGCTATCCTCTTTTTGCCTTTTAATAGAGAGTGTAAGGCACTTTTAAATTGTAAATAGATGGTGTAAGGCACTTTTAGTGCCTATTAAGGGGTAAGGCACTTTTATTGCAATTAGATAGTGTAATTAAGGCAATTTAATTACAATAGACAAGTTAATTACCCCTTAACTATTGTCCCTTACAAATATAGGGGTAAGGCACTTTTATTGTGCAACACTCCCCCTTGTAGTTAAAATTATTTAGATAGAATACTTTTTCTGTAAATAAACTTCCAGACCTACAGGATTTATCTACAATAAATTCAACGATCCCCCTTGAATATATTGCCATTGTCGGTAATATACATATATATATAAGAAAACACTACACAACGCTTATAGGTGAAAATGAACAGTGATTTTTTCTATCCCCATCACCGTCCAAAGTTCATCGTGTGGTCACGATTGTCTAGTAGTGTTTCATTTTTTAATTTTTATCTACAAATCGAAATGACCTGAAATTTGAGCGTGTATTCATCAAAAATAGGGGAATATTCGAGAATTATATAAAAAAAATATTTTATATGAAATAAATTAACCAAATACCCTTAAAATTTTGAGGGGTATTTTGGTCAATTTAGTTTTACGGATATTTTTTTGTATATTTTTATTAGATGCGCCTCAGTAAGATGTATATATCTTCCAAATTTTAGGTCATTCCAACTTTTAGAAAAAATTGAAAAATAAAATATTACCAGACAATCGTGACAGCGCAATGAAATTTGGATGGTGATGAGCGTAGGCGAAATCACTATTCATTTT